GTCTCTGACCACATCGGCCCGAGAGCAGATGTCTATTCAGATTCCAAAGAATTCCCGGACACGCGGCTAAAATAACGATCGACGCTTTAGCGTAAGAATAGACGCTTCCAGGGCGATGATCACCGGTATCTCGAGTCCTCGGAACCTTCCTCAGAGCGATCATCGCCCTGCAGATTACATCAATCAAGATAGCTAGCAACGCCAGAAATAAACATCTGAATACACGGCTTCCCCGGAGCCCATCAACGCTGACTCTCCACCTGGAGACGGTCTTTGTCCAGCTCTGCACACTGAAAGGAACAGCTATGAATGTGAAGAGTAACAAAAGAAATTGGGACTCCTTAGCCTCGGGCACAATAAACCGTATGAAACCCCGCCGCAAGAAGCGGCTCTCATGAACGGGGTAGTGTCCGATGCTATAGAGGTCGGATCCAGGCCGATACCGGGCTCGACGCTGTCTCTTTGGCTGTGGTGATTTCGAAGACCTTAATTCAGTCGTGCAGAAAGATTAATAAATCTTCTCGCAATTTTTGACAATTTGGCTCACGATTGATCATTTATGTAGTATATGGTAGAGATAATTCATGCTATTTATGTATAAAACATTGTAAAATCCAAGCTATGTCTTTTGACCACCCTGGCCGGGAGCAGAGTCTTATTTTTATTCAGGTAGTTCCCGGACAACGTTAAGATAATACCAAGTCTGTTAATGTATGAATGGAACCTTCCTGGGCCATGATCACTGACTTCCCTGGAATGTCCGGGGCGCTCAAGAGTGATCTGCACTTCAAAGATTGCATCTACTACCGGTGCCACCCTTTACATGTGAATGCCAGCTTCTCCAGAGTGCTCTGACGTCACCTAGACACCTGGAACCAGACTTTTGTCTAACCCTGTACATGTTTGGCCCCAGTTCTGCATGTGAAGGGACACAAAGAAACACTCAGTCATTTCTGCCCCAGGCAGAATAAACTGTACATAAGCTCACTGCGAGAGGCAGTCGGGGTGAACAGGGGGAGACTCTGACATTCGGGGGTCAGGCCCATTTGTTCACCCAGCACTGAAACCCGGGCTCGACGCTGACTCTTGGCTGTGGTGGTTGTTTTTCGAAATTCTGTTTTGCTGACAATCTAATAAATCATTGCTAAATTTTCTTATAAATTTGGCTCCCGATTTGATAATTTACAACAAGATGATACAGATACAGATGCAGGTGTTGGCCAAGGACGGCTGAGTCAGCTTAGTGCCTGTGTCTGTCTGTCCTTGCGTGCGTCGATCGGTGCACACACACCATGTTCCCGCTCTCATGGGCATGTGGGCACGGCAAACACAGTATGAGAAAAGAGCAGAGGTGGTTTCGGCTACTGGAAGCGTAAATTTAACATTGTTCATGTTCATTGTTTCAGTAACTGAAAGCACCAAACCCACAATCCTGCAATGCAATTTTAAAAGTAAGTTTTCACACCAGAACCACTCTGTAGTTTGTCATAGTAGGGAGTACTTGGGAGATGGAGCAACCAAAATCTTGATGGTAGAGAACTTTCTGTGCCTCAGGACACAGAAAGCACAGTAAACACATTAGGCATAAGGCATTGCTGAGATGTATTTCTTTTAAAAATCATGTATAGGGCATTTAGAGTAAAATTTATTCATATCCTGTCTCACACCAAAGGACTTTGAATGGGAATATAAGAAAGAGAGATTCCTTGCACAGATGCATTTCTAGGCATAAACAACATGCAAGAGGAATTGCTCAACAAACTCAGAAAAACGTCATCTGTTCAGCTTGTTTAGATTTCCAGTGGGTGAAACAGAAGAACAGGTTTCTAATCCATCTTCCATTTTCCTGTTCTTTAAATATTTGTCAAGACTTCCAAGCTACAGGAGTGGACAAACACCTTAGAAGAGTGTTTAATTCTGTGGAATAAATTTTTCCTTTAAACAGGAATATTACCTACCCCTTCAACTCAGGATCCAGAGAAAAGTCTGCTTTAGATTTCAGGTCATTTTCCATTCAGCTATATATTAAGAGAATCAATGTAAATTGCTTTTTTGTATATAATAATAAGATTACTATAGTTGACCTTGTCTGAAATGTTCAATAATCTATGCATTTCTATGGGTCTAACAACTGGTAGTAACCTTTGCTCTCAGTTTTCACTAAAAACTTTAAATCTCCTTTTAGCTTCCTGGTTTTGTAGTGTAGTGTTTGGGTTTTCATTCCATTTTGTATTTTAGTGGGAAGGATACTAATGTCTTTTAGAAGGGTGAAAAATACACAGCCACATACTGGGGTAATAACAACAATATGCAACTGGTGTCTGTTTTCAGGTTTTTCTATTGCATGGGTGAGAATTTGAGCTATGGAAAATAAGGGTGTCTGTCATAATCAAATGTATTCTCCCTCGTACTCACCATAAACTATTTTCACAGTCAATTGGTCAAATAATTCAGTGCAGCTGTTTTACCCACTTCATTTTGATTTTTCAGTTATTCTGGATGTTTTGTATCATGACAGCTATTAATAGAAGGACAAAATGTGCTAAGACTGAACTTCTTTATTTCTATTTCATGCTTTTTCTCCCACAATATAGCATAATATATAACTACATTCTGAAAAAATATCTGCAGGGCAAGAATATGAAGAGCAAGAATATGAAGCTATTTATTTACAGAAAGAAATTTGGCTTAATCCTACATATTTTCCAACTCAGCTTGCATATTCAGCACAGACAATAGTATTTAAGAAATAGATAAGCCTAAATCAAGGGAATTTTAGATGCTTCAGAAGCATCTAAAATGGGGCAATTGAATTTTTGTTTGCATTGCTACACAAAGAAAGTTAATGAATATGGACATGTCGTCTAGTACAAAAAGACAGAAGTGGTTAGAATTGTGTATTAGATATATATTAGACTTCACTACAGTGAAATGGCTGTATATAAAAGGAAAATTAGTCTCCAGTCACTAAACTGACAAGTTATTGTTAAATCTTTATATGGAATTCTCTTTTAGAAACATTCACATACTCAGTATCTTGGATGCAATTCATAAAATGTAACTGCACTTTTGTTTTATCTTTGGGCTTGCAAAGCAATCAGTATTCAAAAAAAAGAAAAAACTCTCACTGCTTAAAGGCATTCAGGGCAGAAATAGAGCACAAGACAATGAAACAAATGTTTCAGCATTTAAAACAATAAGGCAAGATTTTGTAATAAATACCCAGCTTCTGACTTTGGCATTTCTCTGAAAAACAGAAATGGAAAGCCAGAAGTTTCCACCACTTTTACATGGAACTGCTGATGGCTTTGAAAACTGACAGCTGCATGACTGCATTGACTCAGAAGCAAATAGAACAACGTGATTACTGCGATAAGGTGAATTCAAGCAGCACACTTCCACCCCTGGGTTCAGCTGGAGCTTTCTGATTTGTTACACCACTTTGACTGCATGTCCCTTGGAGAACAGGCAGGTTATGTGTCTGGAGTGGCTCTCTGTTATTCTGAATGCACAGATTCCAGATTCTGTTCTTGTGAAGAGAAATCTCAGGCTGTTAATATTCTAACTCGCAGTATTCAAACTGTGATCCATTCAGATTCAGTTGACCAATAGCGCAAATCAAACCTCTCCTTGGCTTGACTAAGGAAAGCTGAATACACATTAATGACCATCATTTAAGTTGGAAAAGACCACCATGATCAAGAAGTCCAACATTCAGCTGAGCACCACCTTGTCAACAAAGCCATAGCACTGTCATGTATGGCTGCTTCTTGAACACTTCCAAGGATGGTGACTCCACCACTTCCCTGGACAGCCCATTTCAATGCTTAACCCTCCTTTCAGTGAAGAAATTCTCCCTGATGTCCAACCTCAATCTCCCCTGGCTGTTTCCTCTCATTTTGTCAGTGGTTGGCTGGGAGAAACCTACATCCAACTAGGTTACAAACTAGCTATAAACTCCTTTCAGGCACTCAGTGGTCAGGTCACCCCTGAGCCTCCTTTTCTGCAGCCTAAACAAGCCCAGCTCCCTCAGCTGATCCTCAAGCTTACTTTCTCAAAGCTTCACCAGCTCTGTTGCCCTTTACTGGAGTCACTCCCACAAGTTGTGTTCCACCTTATTTTCTCTCCCCTGTCCAGCTGGGAAGGGGAGTGACAGAGAGGCTTGGCAGGCACCTGGTGTCCAGCCAAGGTCAACACACCACAACTGGTCAGGTTTTAATGATATGGGCTCCAACGCTGGCATCCCCTGATAAGGGTAGCCTAGAAAACTGGATTTCCCCAAAAGTTCTGCTTTCACCGCAAAATTAATGGTTTCATTGTATCTGGACATAATTCACAACACAAATTGTAAGTGAAAACAGATACAAGGTAATTAATCTCACACACCACTAAAGTAACCGCTTGATGTAAGCTTTTTTTTATATTTAGAAAAACTTGCTGAGCACCCAATAACTGTACATTTAAGCATTTGCATATGTCTTAGCCTTTTATTTTTTAAAATACAATTTAGTTGAATTGTTCAAAATAATGGATAGCAAACATGGACTCAGGTGCTAGGTCTAACAACATCAACAGCAAAATTTCTACAGTTTGCTGAAAATTTTGAGGGTTCAGATTAGCAATGGTTTACCAATTTCCAATCAATTTTTACATCAAAGTTCTAAAGGAACAGTATTAAACCAAATACTTTAAACATTCTGTTCAAAGACATCTACTTAACAGTACTTGGATTCAAAGGTGTAAAATCTACTGAATGTAATCTGAAGAGGCAATTGTAAAAATTAAGAGTTTGCTTTTCATGCTATTAGTAAAAAGTGCAGTAATGAAATTGCACCCACTTTCTAGTGGACTTTATAATCAATATTTCATTATTAATAAGATTATATCCTAATTCAAGTAGACAAAATAGCAAGTGTTGAAATATCAGTGTATCTTAACTTTTTCAAAGTAATAAAGTACAACATTTATACATTGCTATTTCAAAGTACAAACTTCTGCTGGTGAGAATAAACACAGTGATCTAGCATACAATATTTTTGCTGCAGTCAAGACTTCAGGATAGATAATTTTTTTATTTAACAGCTGAAAGTGCTAACATCATAGATAGCTGAGTCCATAGAACTGTTAATCCATGATTCAGCTTCTATACAATGAGACTATACCAGGAAACGCCACCAGATCTTTAATTATGTGGCTGAACACTATGACTGATCAACTGGCTCTTGTGCAGCAGGCACAGCAATAGAACTGTCCTAAAAAGCTGAGTGACTGTTCAAAGTAAATGAGCTTTTGGGATGAAAAAGCACTCTTTCCAGTGAAGGTTTGACTTTTTTTACTGCAAGTATCCATTCCAGTTCAATGCTTTCTAGCTACATTTCATCCCATACCATACAGTTCCCCTTCACCTTTCTTTATGGCATAATTCATGAATACAGCTGTACTTAACTAAAAAAACTTGTTGATTTGTGCACATCAATAGCATGCCTGTGTCTAGTCAAGTCAGCAGCAATATGGTAATCCTGTTTGAGAACAGCAAAGCAGCAGGTGTCTTGTGCAGGAGAAAACCTCAGCTTAGCTTTGTTTATTACATTAAGAAAAGGTCTAGGACTAAGCACTGACAGCTGTCTTCGGTTCTTCAAAATTTGCTGCAATCAAGCCCAAGGAGGTTCATCCATCTCACAAACATTTTAATCAGGGATGCGTTAAGTTACAAAAATAATCTAGTCAATGTGTAAATAGTGGGCTATATAAGCAATACAAAGCTTTAATTTCCCCAAGAATCTTTCAAGTTACTTATTACATCCCTGAAACGGTGGCTTTTAACTCATTGCTTGCAGATGGTGATTCAGAGTGTTCTGAATCTGCAAAAGGAAAAAAATATTAAAGTTCACAGACCATACTAATAAAAAGGTCAGCTAAAATTTTTGGTTTCTTCCTCATGTCAAAATACACATAAATTCCACTACTTTTAATTTTGAATTAACAAGATATCCAAGCTACCTAAGAAATTTGCAAATCTGTACCCCAAAACAAAGGGATTATAGATTTACATATGGAATGGGTTGTATCTCCTTCCTGATGTGTCTAGGGCGTATTCTGTGCAAGTAAGAACGGAGAAAGCTCCATCTCAAAAGGGAGCTGCAAGGTGCTCAGGCTGCCAATTGCTTTGGATGAAGAGAAAAAAGTACACGAGTGGGAAAAGAAGTAAAAGCACTATCGTCAACAATCACCTAAAAGAATGAAAAGGACACAGTCAAAACTGAAGGAAGACACACATCTGGATGAAACCATATTATTAAGAGCATTAAAAGCAATCTCCTTTTACACTGTGATACAGAACCAATCTCAATTGGAATAGCTACGATTGCAAACAAAGGCAACAGAAGCAAAGCAAGTATCATGCTATCAAAAACATGAAAAATAAAAGCAACTCAAAAATTAGATGTATCTATATGTCAACCTACACAGCACACTGACTTTTCAGAAGCCTTTGCAGTGTACCCATTTTCTTCTCTTTTGCCTAAGTGGTATAACCCAACCAATTTCGTGCTTACTCTGAAAAATCTTCAACTTTTCTTTATATCTCAGATGTCTCATTAGAGGCATGCATATTAAAGAAATCAACTACCACCAAATTAAGGAAATTGAGATTTTGAAATCCCTATTAATTTTACTCAGAGTAATGGGAAAGAAAAATGTCAGCACACAAGAAAGTTGAATAGAATCTGAAAACAAAGAAGAATATTCAAGGTTTTCTTTCATGCTGAGGAAGAGCACTTTTAGCCTTCATGATTGAATTGTTCGGTCACTGAACTCTCAAAGCAGCATCCTCTGCATGATCAGAGTTTGGATACTTAAGTTAACTTGAAAAGCGGCTTCTAAGGTTATGCATTCTCCTCAGACCCAGACCTGGCTTCATCCCTCAGTTTTATGACATTTTTTCTTCTGAACAAAACCACACAACTTCTAGTTCTCTGTTTTCTCCTGATACTTACATGGAGGAAGAAGTTTTGAACACACAAAAAAAAAACCAACAAAAAAGCACCCCCCCCAAAAAAAAAAAACAACCACAAAAAAAAAACCCCACACAAAAACACCAAAAAAAACCCTGTAGATACAATAATGGAAGACACAAAAATTAATTCTGACAGAGCTGAAGTGTCAGAAAACTTAAAATACCTGGCCTCTAACACTTTCAGACATTAATATATCAAGGTCAAGGGAATAATGACAATGCCAGTGTATACAAAAGGATTCCCTGACACATATTAAAAAAAAAAAATACCGGTGCATGAAATGGGAGATCCAATAGCATTTCCAAACATTGCTACAGAAAACTGATAGAGCCAGCATGGCTACCTAAGAAAAAGGTCTTTGCCAGAAGTAAGAGAAATTTTCTCACCCTTTGACCTTTATATTTGTTTCCAAGTGAAGTATTTCACAGTTATTACTATTGTGCATAATAAAGTAAGGTTTGAAAGCATGACATTGGATAACTTTTTTCTCTTAAACTGCTGAAATTCCACTGCTTTCAACCATGTGCATATATTTATTTTGACAAATTTCTACAAGTAGTGCTCTATTTCTTAAACCTGAGTATCAATGACACTTGTGACAGAAGTTTTTGGAAAAAGAATATTCATAACAAGGAGGCAACAAATATTTTACAGTCTGCTTAAGTTAGGCAGGATGGCTGTGTCTCTGCAGCATTTTATGGAAACACATCACAGAGATGCCCCTGGATCAGAACACAGAAGCCCCTGGATTGGAACAGAGAACACTGCAATTGTAGAGATGAAAAAAGTCCATGAAAGCGCCTGCCTTCGCTGACTGCAAACAGGAGCACTCCTTTCTTTAGCTGGTCATAGGGTATTGTAAAGTAAGCACTATAATTCAGTGTGTCTCACCATATTCAGAGAGCCACACAAATACTGAGGCTGCCCTCTGCTGTTACCTTGAGAGCCCAGCTCATTTTAAAAGAAACAGCTTTCAATAACATTACCTTCAGAGTCATCACTATTTTCTGATGTTTCGTCAATCTTTTTTTCCCATCCAGTACACTGCTGCAACCAGTCAGTCCCATAACCATTACTTATTAATTTGCTAAAATTTACTGCTTCAATTTTTCTCTGAGCAGGCCTGTAAATACAAATATATTAAAGGAAAACAAAAGGAAAAGTAAACAGAAATGGGGGCTAGATGGAAAAATCATATTTTTCACAGAAAAGATGTTCTATTAGAATTTATTTCTAATTATAACATCAATTTTAAAATATAACAATTTCTAGCCTTATAATTTATTTATAAATAACAAAACATATATTCTACATGTAATCATCTAAGAAGAAATACCAAAAATAAACAAAAGCAAAGAACTATGCCTGATTTAGTACTCAAATTTACATAAGAAGAGACATCTGTTTCATTGGAATTTCACATGTATAATTCTTGCACAGTTCTTGTCTTAAAGACAAATGTGCGAAAGAATGTGTAAATGAAAAAGACAGTACTCATTCTGTGGTTCACAAAAGTGAAATCATGTTACACACTTTCTCTTAAATTCATTTGACAGTTTAATCACTTATTTGGCAGCATTACCATAGTTCTAAAACACACCAGGACTACTGGTGACTGAGCAATAAAATTTTCAAAGTATGTTGAAACAATTCAGCTGTGCACACAGCTGATGGTGTGATTACATCACATCACAAATGATATAAAAATTTGCTTAAACCACCTCTTTCAGGTGTTCATGAGAATACTTTTGCTCTGTATGACATTATAAAGGCTACAGTTTATGTCTTTCCTTAAAGTGTCAATCCTACTTGTTTCTCTGTAACCTACACTAACAGAATTCACGCTGTAGATTATCATTTTCACCTGTTCACTAGTATTAAGAAAAAGCCCAATCTAGAATACAAAAAATTCAGCTACATGAAGGTGTGCCACTCTATGCTCAGTTTTCCTAACACCAAGTTATATAGAAAAATTTTCTGAGTTAAAGTACTGTTATTTTAGTTGCTTTAGAAGCTTTTAAAACTATTTTAGCATCACATATAATAGCAAATTTAACAGCAATAAAGATCCACAAGGACCATACACATATCTGCTAATTCCTGCATTTTCACAAGAAGCAATTTTACTTATATACTTGAAGAGTTGCAGGCTTAGGTGTTCAATGATTTTCATAAATGTACTACTTACATGGGTGGCAAGGAAAGCTTATTTTCTCCACTAAATTCCTTTGTGGAAACAGTTGGCATTCTGCTTGGATATTTAGGGCTTATAGGTGGAAGCTTTACCTGTGTTAGAGAAATCTTAGCTCAAAATAAAGGAGTTATGAAAAAAAATGAACAAGAAGATTATATGTTAGCATAGCCTTCAAAAGTGAGGGTGATATTAAAGGCCTGAATGTGTTCAAATTTCCATGTCCTATCTACATTATTTCCATAAGTACAAATAATGGATTATTGAGGAATAACAAAAGATAAAGCAGTCCCTTAGTTAGTTATTCTACATGAGGTTAGCTGCTTGCTCTCTCCAGAATGTGCTCTACACAAGCCTTTCCCTCACAGTACACTTCAAATTAAGCTTCAAATTCAAACTTATCCACGGCAACTTCTCATCTTAGTCCATTTCTCTGTATGCAGAATATGAAAACAGACCAGTCTTACTAAAGTCAGGAAAACTAGAAATTAACTCATGGTTTAATTGCTACTCCTTTTTTAGTTTGTTTAATAAAAAGCATAAAACATCCTATATAATAAGAAAACTGTTGTGGTATATTAATTAGAGTTTTGATATTCAAACAAATATAAATATAAATATAAATATAAATATATATATATATTTTATATATATATATATATATATATATAGGGGGAAGCCTACAACAGAAAAATCTACTTTACTTTTATCATCTTTCCAATTACAGGTAAAGAAACTCAGTGTTGACTAAAAGACTGAAAGATGACACCTAGAAAGCCAGGGAAAGACAACATTCACTCCAGACCTGAAAATGGGAAAACCAGTAAGTAGTGGAGAAACATGAGCAACACATACCAAAGCTCTTTATTTTAAGTTTGATCAAAATCAACAGCTACTAAAGAGTCAACCTACCCCCTCTCAAATCAAAGCATGAAATTAAATATCCTTAACAACTCCCAGATATTTTTCACTAATAGTTGCTAAAAAATTCTGAGTTTAAAAAACCCAAAACATCTTTAAAAACTACTTACAACTTCCATCATTGCACAAGGAAAAGTGGAAAAGAGGGAAGTCCTGAAGATAGCACAGAATTTTCAAAGCTTATTAACAAAGTTTTTGTGTTACACTAACATATCCTTTTAGTTAGAACCTACATATTATTTGACCATTTTCTTTTTTAAACATGCAACACAGAAGAGTGCCCCATGGAATAAGAGATGTTATTTGCAGGTTATTTACAAAAAAATCAGAACAGAGTGACTAAAGGTGAAATGTATTGCTCTGTAAATTTACAAGCACATTAAAGATAAAAATACTTTCCACCTATGTGGACACAGATGCTGCAATACAGTTGACAGAGCAAAAAAAATATGAAGTGCAAAAATTAGATGCATGAACAGCAGTCACACTTGGATTTCAGACACTACAGAACAACCACAAAAATCTCTGTAAGGAGAAGATTCCAAAATGTAAATGCACCAAGGACTTCTCAAGGAGCTTGTGCGCAAAGAGTATGGAAAGAGCAAACAAAAGTATAATGGCCTTTGAACACATCTAATCAATGAACTAATTAGGAAGGCACAAAGAAAAAGCAGATCTGAATGTTCAGAGAATGTAAGTTTTCTTATTATCTCTAAGAAAGTGAAGCCTGGGCAGAGAGTTGTACTGATTCTGAGCCAGGATGTCAATGCAAGCATGTGTAAAATCAGTGCTGAAACCCCTCCAGACTTCAGTGGAGTCAGACTGGGACATTTGTCAAAGAAGAAGACATGAGATCAGCAAGGGCATGCAGTGATATCAGAGACAGCTATGTGAGATGAAAAGAAGGGTCTTTGTCCAACCTGGAGGTTAAAAACCCCGTTAGCTGCTTAGAACTGCTCTTCAAGTTTGTTCACACTGCTTGCTGAAGCAGCCTACTTGTGCTTTACATTTCAGAAATGCGCAACACAGAAACACAACTCAGTTTGATAGTCAGGATAAACAAATAGCAGATGGAGAGAGATGAGATTTCCCTCTTGGCATCAAACAGAAGCACAAGGAAAGGAGCTCTAGTAATTAAAGAGTTAATTAAAGGACAAAGGGAGAGCAGAAGCCAGAGCGATTTTGACTAGAGACAGAAAAAGGTTCAAACTCTCCAAAATAAAGTCTAGAAAAAGAAAGGGGAGAGGAAAGGCAAAGAGAAAAGACTTGAAAGCTGCAAGCAAGAGCTTTTTTTAAAATGTTGCCTTTCTTGGCATTAAATGAGAGGCTAGCTTATACTGCAGGAATCAAAACAATCCCTACTGTTCAAGTAAACTAATTAATGACAAAAGTAGCAATGGAACAAATCAGAATTTGGCTTTGAAGGGCATCTGCAATCCATTGAGGTGCTTATTTGTTACTTTGCTGGGCAAATTCAGCATTAAAAGCAGACTCTTGTGATGATTACAGCTGAGGGGGATTTTTCCCTTTGACAAGTCTCAATTAGCAGCCATCAATTTTCCCAGATAAACTGCACAGGGCATTTTTTTACAAACTACACAGGGCATGTTCTTGCTTTAAAGTGTTTTCTCCCTCTGTGAAGAGATGGCAACAATATACTGTAAAAATTACTATGTTTATTATAAATACACATTTATTAATCTTGGATTAAAGAAACATGACATAGAATATGCACTGTGGCTGGCTAGTATATGAAGAACAATGGATATCTGCAGCCAGCACGGTAAGATAAAAGCCTTTAGATTAAATCCTGGCTCCTGTGTGATCAAGGAAAAAATTTCAAATCTCTCTCTGAGGTAAAATCCTGGCCTCAGGTGAGCAGTCATTTTGCAACAGCACATACATAGCTAAGTACATATGCATCTATACACAGACATTTCAGGCAAGTGCCTGAAAGAGAGGAGTCTGAAGATGAAGGAGCAATCTTATTGGTGGTACTGCAGGGATATTGCCAAATGCTGATGCAAATTCTGATGACATCTCCTACTGACCTCCCACCCTTACAGACCTCCCTTCTTAAAGTTCACAGTTTTTTCAACCCAACCCAGCTGGGCAATAATATGCACAGGCAAAAGGATCACTCAATCACAGAATAGTTTGGCTTAAAGATCCTCTAGTTCCACTTCTCCTGCTACAGGGACACCTTTCACTAGACCAGGTATCCCAGAGCTCCATCCAGCCTGACTTTCAAGACTTCCAGGGATGAGGCATCCACAATTTCACTGGGCAACTTGTGCCAGTGCCTCACCACTCTCACAGTAAAGAAATTTTTCCTAACATCTAGTCTAACCCTACTCTCTTCGAGTTTGAATCCATTCCCCTTTGTTCCATCACTAATGCCCTTGTGAAAAGTCCCTCTCTATCTTTCTCACAGGTCCCTTCACTGGAATGCCATAAATAGGTCACCCTAAAGCCTTCTCTTCTCCTAGATGAAGAATCCCAATTCTCTCAGCCTTTCTTCACAGGTGAGCTGCTCTATTCCTCTGATCATCTTTGTGCCTTCCTCTGAACTCGTCTCACAGTTCCCTGTGCTGTGGTCCCAGAGCTGATGCAGCCCTGCAGGTGGGGTCTCACCAGAGCAGAGCAGAGCAGAGGGGCAGAATCCCCTCCCTCCCCTGCTGCCCACGCTGCTTTGGATGCAGCCCAGGACATGTTTGGCTCTCTGGCTGTGAGTGCCCATGGCTGGGTCATGTCCAGTTTCTCATCCACCAGCACCCCCAAGTCCTTCTGGGCAGGGCTGCTCTGGATCTGCTCATCCCCCAGCCTGTGCTGATAACAGGGGTTGTCCCAGCACAGGTGCAGGACCTTGCACTAGGTCTTCTTAAGCCTTGTGAGATTTCCATGGGCTGCTTCTCCCTGGGCCAGAAGTCCATTACTCTGCCATGAGCACAAAGGCTAAATCCTTCATGCACTAATACTCTGCTGATTTGCAAAATTCCCATGTAATGGCCCCCCGGATTTCCAGTCCTCCTCTACACAGCAATAACCACAAGGATCAGCAGAGATTTTAATACTTCAGAACAAAGCAGCATAAAGGCTTAAACCTTCAGAGCAAAGGCCCACTTGGGAGCAATGTTTTCCAAACCAAGCAAAAGAAATACCCTTAGAGGTTAAATGGTTTTGCTCTTGTTCCTAAGTGCGCCCTTTGGGATTTAACTCCACAATTGCATCATGCATGTCTCTTCTGAATAACTGCTTAGTCACACTGGACTGAAAAATATTTTCAATACATTCAGTCTCATACTACCAGAAATACTTGAGGTAGCTTGCTGCTGCAGTGTCATCATGAAGTCAAATAAATGAGAAATTTAGAAATTTGCCTGTGGTGTTTTGGAATACATTATTCTTACCTTTCAACATACAAGTTGTATGGTGAAAAACTAAAATTGAGACTCTTTGGTAGGGTTAGTTCCATTGTCTCACCTGGAAGACTCTTTGGGAAGGTACTCTAAGAGCATGGGATAGAAACTTGTCAAAAGAGGATATTCAAGAAGTAGCTGTGAAAGAAGTACCATGTGACATTTCAAGATACATAATACAGTTTTCAATGTACAGCAAAGACACTGTGAAGCAGAGCCAAATGAGAGTTGGTGTGTGGAGGTAGAGCTAAACATACCAACACAGAATCCGTCTTCCCAGGCACCTAGTCTTACAGAAAAAGACTTGTTTAATTTAGAACATTAGGCAAAACTTAACTTCAGCTTCCAGGAGAATAGTGCAAATTATATATGAGGGCCTCAGCATATTTGCAATCTGAGCTGAATATATAACATATATTCATTTTGTATTTAGTCTTAAATAAAGTAAATGACTGTAGGAGTTTGGTTGAGACCCAGTTTCATTCAAAGTTGAAATGAACCTCAGTTCCACTTTACAAGTCAGCACATGGGCTTGAATTACTTTTATCAAAGTTAAGTTTGACCCTTAGAGCACTGAACATAATTGGTTCTTAAGTAAGGGAGTGAGAAAGAGAACTTCCTCTCGGTCCTAGTTGAATTCCTTTAAGAGGCACAGCAGCAGGTCAAGTTTTTAGTTTTAGTGCCTTAAATCTATGATAGGGGAAAAAAAAAAAAGCAGCTTCACCTACAAGCATCAGGCAAATTACAGTTTAAACATATGTTGCTTGTTTGCCTGTTGCCACAGACTCAGTAAACATTCCCAAGCCTATTCAGTAATGAGGTGTTCCCATTTACACAAGACATCATTCTGATTTTGCACTAGTTACTCATCTCAGCAAAGGCTGAGGACTTTTTCTCCTAGAATGCCCAACATCTACCCTTCTGTTGAAGAAGGGAGGTACTAGTGTTCAAGTATTGTAGTAGCGTGTAGTAGTAGTGTTCAAGTGTTTCCAGGCATACCACAAAGGCCTATGGTAGACGCAGCAACTGAATTTACAGAGGATATTTAAAAAACATAAGGCTTCAGCATCTAAATTGAGGGGGGGGAAGGGAGGATGAAAGAGGGAGGATAGTAGAGAGGTCTCCAAGACAGAACACCATGTCAGTACAGAAAGGTTTGTTTGGGGCATAGCTTGTCCTATATTTATTTTGTCTCGGATACATCTTTCTTTCAAACACAGCACAGTATCTTTGGGAATTCCCTTGCATTTCAAAATAAATTAAACTCCTTTTTCAGAATAGTCTTCTGTTCTCATCTTCTTACTTCCTCACTCAAGATTACTAAACAAGATGTCTCTTCACCCAGAATGAGTTGCAGGGGAAATAAAGCATAAGATAAAAATGAACTGCTGCTTTTTATTTATACTGACGTATATATACCATATAATGTGATGGGAAACTGCATTTCTGGTTTTCACACTACACCTGCAGCACTTAAGATAACATCTTTCTTTTTGTTCTCTAACTGCAATATAAAAATTGATTCTGGAATACAGAAATGTGGATTGCAGCTTCCCTCCTCTAAGAAGCAACAGAGATGTGTTCACAAGCTCTACAAACAAAGTATCATCACAGCATACCTCTCCATCCTACCTTCTTTTTCTCTGCATTTTCTTTGTCCTCGGCATCCCGCTGCCAAACATTTTTTGTATCAAACTCAAAAGGCCCTCTTCTTCTCTCATAACTCTTACCATGACGGTCACCAGCCACAAACTCTCTGTGAACCATAAAATCTGGTAGAGAGGAAACACAGCTCCTGCAGGCAAAGATTTAATGCTTGTTTGTACAAGGTATACAAATCCTGCACTCTAGTACAGAAGCATTCAGAAATGTTAACAGGTGAAGAGGGAGGCCAAGATGTGTTGGGCCCCAGCAATCTTACCGTGGCTTCTCAATCCCTGCAGGACTGGCACAGTGTGTGAACCAGTCAGGGGCAGCATATGCTGCTGGAGGGGACTTCATTACCACAGGAGTGTAGTGCCTCAGCAGGTCTGGAGAGAAAAAGACAAAAGTCAGTACTTTTCTCACTTCTTATCTAGCAGCAAAAGCACTACCTTTGTTTTCAGATTACTGTTTTGTCAGGAATAAATTAATTTCCTCATTTTTTTCACAAGTTTATTTCAAAAGTCCAGAGGATCCTTCTGTAGCATCTACAGGCACTTTACACTGCACTCAAGCAAAGCCAAGGAAAACAGAGGAGAACCAAAGAAGCAGATATAGACAGATGCTCACCAGGTCGGCCTCCTTGCTTTGCCAGCCTGACATAGGCTGAATCAGTCTCTTTGATCCTCTTCCTGTGGCACCCAGGCAGTGGCACTTCATGAGGAGCTCTTGGAAGGTCACTGAGACCCAGAATCTGGGAGGAAAGTGGGCTCTTCTCTGGTTGTTTCAGTGCCATGGGGTATTGCTGTCCTGCAATTAATGGAAAATATTTATGGTAAAAGTTAACTGATAACATCCCTTTCTCACACAACTTAACAAACTGAGCCCATCTGGAATATGAACAAGGTGCCACATTTCATCGTGAAGACAAAAGACAAGGCTTGCTTATTCTGGGGGATACAGCACAAGCCATTTCTAGAGATCAGATGCAAAACACTTTTGTTTCAGTTCTGAGACAACATTCAAGTTTTCCTGTAATGTGCTCTCATATAGAGGATCGTGCCTCTTCATTCAGAAAACTATTTCCGAAGACACATCAAAAGCAGTGAAAGGCACATGAGACAACAGAAAACACTTCAGCCTTTGGTTTCCTTTCCTTCACATGTATTATCTAAAAGCAAAGATAGTAGCTGTCCATTGGCAGGTCCTTATTTGTAAAACCAAACCTGATCCCAAAAGAAAAAAAAAAATCATAAAAACAACACCAAACACCCTACTTCTCCATACATTACTTTCTCAACTTCTAGTGAGCAAAAGCAAATATAAACAAATCGTTCAAAACGAGAGAATGAGCGGCAGATAAATAAGAAAAAGCCAGTACGAGGTCCTGTGCCATAAAAGATGCACAGGCACTTACCGGAGTGACTCCAGCCGCAGCTGATGCCGTTCAGTCGCTGTAAGGACAGCACTTCCAGGAGCAGCTCGCTGAGGAGCTCCTGGCACACACACCCGCTCTGGCTGTGCCCAAACCCAACCCCAAGAAGAGCCCAAAGCGCTGCCGCTCCCCGGGGTCAGGCCGCAGAGGCACAGCCCGCTCCTCCCGGGCGGGTCCGTCCGTCCCAGGGCGCTGCCCGGGGTCCCCGCTGCCGCCGCGTCTGCAGCCCGGAGAGCCAGGGGCCATTCCCCGAGGGGTGACCCGCACCCCCGGGAAAGCGGCGGGACGGAGCCCGAAGGGGAGAGGCGGGCGGAGCCGGAGCCGAAGCCGCCGGGGGCGGAGCGGAGCATCCCGGCCCGCGGCGCCTCCCTCCCTCTTCCCTTTCTTTTGCGAGGTGGAAACTCGGCGCCTTGCTTACCAGCGCCAGCAGCAGCCGGGACGCAGAGCAGAGTGGGGGCCGCTGCCGACGGGCTCCCCGCTCGGGAAGCGGCGGGAGCTGTGCCAAGACGCCTTCCTCCCAAAGAGGGAAAGACGCTCTCCCACTGTGACCGCCCGCCCAGACCTTGCCCCTGCTGAGGAGCTCCATCCCAGCTGAAAGGAGGACAAAATCCATCCTTTATTGCATGGCATTTACCAGTCTGTACTATTTAATTTTTGCCTTCTGGCCCGTCCATATACTGAAAGCCTGCTGGAACCCTTTTGGGTCCTTGAAATATCCTGCTCTGAGATTTTGTGTTCCTGGAGCTGGCAAGCCACTTTATCCACCAGTGCTGCTTCTTCATCTTTCCATGTCTGGGACCTGGAGAACATGGAAGGATGATGGGATATAGTGAGAGAATGTGGAGGGATGGAGGGACGTGAAGAAAGTGGTGGGGTGATGGAACTTGGAGCATATAGTGAGACGTAGAGGAGATGGAGGGCCATAGGGATGGTGGAATGGGGGCATGATGAGTCATGAAGATGTTGGGATGTGAAGAGAATGGACAGATAGTGGCACATAGAGATTGTGGAATGTGTAGGGACATAGAGGAAATGGGGTGGTAGAGAACATATAGGGATGGTGGATATGATGGGACAATGGCCCATGGACGAGATGGAGGGACAGTGAGAAATGGAAGGCAACAAGTTGGAGGAGACAGGGCTGTTGGGCCAAGGGGTGGTGGAATGATCAATGGAGAGGCCAGACAGCTGAAAGCATTTGGGACAGAAGGACAGTGGGACATGTGGGGAAATGGAACATGTTGGGCAGTGGGACAGAGCAGTTGGTGGCTAGGGGAATGCTGAGGCCAGAAGCAGCACAAGCTGCAAGCTCAGGAACCAGGAGATCCCTGAAGGGCTCACCCAGGCTCTGTACTACATGTGGAGGTACCAGATGCTGCCCCCCACCTCCTGGGGACCCTCCCTCCTCAGTACCATATGTGCCCCCAGGCACATCTCTTCCCACACACAGACATGGATTGGTGTGAGGCAGGTTGAGATACCCTGTGAGGCAGTCTGAGGTCAAGGTACACCCCATGGGTGAAATCATATTGCATGTGGGGTGTGCTGCAACATCCTGTGGGGTGCACCAGGTCCACACGGGTTGGCAGTCCACAAATTTTTTAGGGTTGGAAGGAACCTCAGAAGATCATCCAGTCCAACCCCCCTGCCAAGGCAGAGTGACTTATGGAATTTACACAGAAACATGTCCAGTTGAGTTTTGAATGTCTGCAGACAGGGAGACTCCACAGTCTCCCTGGGCAACTTGTTCCTGTGCTCTGTCAACCTCGATGTAAAGAAGTTCTTCTTCAGGTTGAGGTGGAACTTCTTGTGTTTTAGTTTATGGCCATTGCTTCTTGTCCTGTCTCTGGCCACCACCGAAAAGTCCGGCACTATCCTCTGGACACCCACCTTTGACATGCATTGATGAGATTCATTCCCTCTGAGTTTTCTCTAGACTTAGGCTATGGTGGTTTGACCAGGAAGAAGTGGGAATTCTGGGATGCTGTGGTCAAACCTATGGGTGCTCGGATTTTGATATTGGCACCTGGTGTGGCCAGTGGGGTCTGGACACACCTCCGAGAACACACAGGGGTTAAAAACCAGAGCTTCGGCCCTGGGAGGCTCTCTTGGGACTTCGAGGGAAAGAGGTTGGATCGCCCTCCCTCGTCCAGCTGCTGCTGCTGGGCGGGGGAGGGGCAGCCATGTGGTAGGCCGGGGCCTGGACAGAGATGGGGGGTGAGGAGGCCCTTGAGGATGGAAGGGTGGAGGACCCCCAAGAGACAGCCCTCGGGCAGCCATCCCCCCCCAGGAGGGAGAGAGAGGGAGAGCCGGCGTCGATGGAATGTGATAGCAGCCGGCCCAGGAGGAGAAGGAGGGGAGTGCAGCGAGAAGGTGCCCGGCTGGAGCAGCAGCGAGGGAGCAGCAGCGAGTGTGGGAGTGCCGGAGCTCTGGGACAGGCAGAGACTGAAATTTTTAACCCCTTTCTTTCATGATTGGGACTTCGCAAAAATGCTGATCCTCCTCGGAGCTGATAAGAAGAGAGATATGAGATAACAAGGACCTGGCCCGAGGGAAGTGGAGAAGACTGGCTGAGTGGGGAGAGAGATGATTGGAGTGGCCTTTTGGCTGGACTTTTCTTGTGTGGCCATAGACTGAACCAGTTTTATTCCTGTGACACAGAGACTGCATTTAGGGGGAGGCAGTGCCTCAGAAC